AACCTTTTATTTTCCCCCCCCCCCCCTTTTTTTTTTTTCCTTTCCTTTGTCCCAGGGAAAAAAATCAGTTGTGACAGAGTAGAGGAAAGCAGGGTTTATATCTTAGGCATATTTCAGCCAATTCTCTGATTGCACAGTGTCAGACTGACCTTCAGCATAAGTCAAAGCATAGCATCTTTTCATACTCACTGTCTTTTCACATACTAGTGAAGACAGAAGGCTGTACCCCAATCCTTCAAATAGCCTGGTCCAGCAGGAATATAAGGAAAGGAAGCAGGAGACAGAGAAAAGGCATAGCCAGCAGTAGAATATCAGGTAATCCCAGCTTCTCTTGTTGGTTACCTTGGTTATCAAGCTAGAAATAGAAATATGGAAACTTTCTGTTCTCAGCATAAATACAACAGTGGCGAGCTGCTTTATTTCATTAAAATGTATTGTAATATCTAGTATTTACAGTGCTACATTACAAACTTCTTTTTCAATACAGCCTGTCTAATAAAAGGAAAGAATTAATCACTCTCCTTCTTCCCACCTACCACCAAATTACTTTTCTTTCCTTCTTTTTAACCTTATGGTTATGACTTAAGATAGACTTGCTTAAAGCGAGAAGTAGGCACCATTTATTTTGGGTAAATGACGGTACCCTTCCCTCCTATAGACCTAAAATGAGAAACTTCACTGAAAGCATAGGCACTTTTTTATAGCTTAAACTAAAGGCAGAAACCAGACTAATCAGACTGTGAGGCACTCTACTGGGGATATGAGTTTGATGGGTTTTTCCATTTGGGGATGGGGGAGAAAGGCAGTAGAAGTTGAGGGAGATGTTTACAGAAACTACAGTAGGGTCAATCTTGGGTTAAGTCAGGAGTTCTTAGCCCAAATGTGGAGAAAAGCTCAGAACTATGAGCAAAGAAATTCTCCTGCTACTCAGTTCCTCAAGGGATCAAGTCAATAAAGCTTAAATCAAGGAAGTAGAGCTTTATGTTGTGTATCATTTGTAAATTCATAGGATTATATTGAGGAAGTAACCAATTTCCTCCTGAATTATCCTTCAGAACCATGAAAACTGCTTTTCCATTAAAAGGGAAAAAGATGTTAAAAAACCCTTTTAGAATTAAGAGACTTCACGATCACTTCTGTAGATATATAAATGTGCACACATCAGTCCGTATGCTTTTATTACTATGCATAACTGTGTTTCTGTTATACCAGCAAATGCTAGTACCTTTTAGGAAAATGATGGGTTTCTTTGTGGCTTTGTGTATCATCCCTGCAATTGCTAACTCAATTGCTGTTTGCAAGACCTTTATTGCCAATGAGAGGTGGGAAACTAGAAAGTCAATAGCCCAAGTTCAATTTGGAGAAGCAGCAGCTGGGAAAACAATCTTTTTGTCTGTAAACTGAGCAAACTTACTCTGGACATCAGCACTTTGAAAGATGTAAGTCCAGCCTGGTATCTGAATCATGCTGTCATGGCTTAATTAACATCACTAGACCAATGACAAATTACACCTGCTAAGGATCTGTTTCATATTTGTTTGGCATAAAATAAACATATTGTAGTTTAAAATAAAGAGCACTGGTAACGTGTCTTTTCTTTGTTTCTTGCAGGACACTTTTTAAATTGCATGTCCTGATTTTAAAAAATTAATTATAAAAGCTTTTGACTCTCCTGCTTTTGGAGTGTTTGGGGTTTTTTTCTTTCTTTTTTTAAACGGAGATCTTAGAGATAGATTGTCTTCCTGCTGCTGTTACCAGAAAAAATTTTTGTAAAGATAAGAAGCACATTTAAAAGTTCCAGGCTAAGTAGGGGGACAGTGGGATGTTGATTAATGAGACAAAGGGAGGCATTAACCATCAAAAGCACAGTCAAACTCCAAATAGGGAAACTGCTGTTGGGTGTATGCATTGCAAAAATGACCAAGGGGAAAAGTGTTTTCCTTCCACCCCCGTGCTTTGAGTAATACTTTCAGACAGGGATATATTTCGACTTGGTGATAGTCATCTGAATGAAGAATTTGTCTTTCCTTTATTTAACCCTTTAAGAATTTAAGAGTTTCATAGAAATGAAGTACATAAGGCTACTGGAGTTTTTATAATAACATACCTTTTATGATAAAGCATTTCAGTGTGGCTAGGGATCAAAAACTTATTTTCTTTTTTCTTTTTCATGACACTTCTGCTATTGGAAAGATTTAGATTTTTTGCTAAATAATTCAATTTCTACAACAAAACTTTTTTTCCCCTCCTTTATTTGCAGATGATGTGGAAACCTGCATATGACTTTCTCTACACGTGGGGTGCCCATTATGGAGACAGTTACAGGGATGTCTTACAAGACCTGCAATCAGCCTTGGATAAGATGAAAAACCCAGTAACAAAACATTGGCGAGAGTTAACTGGAACGTTGATTCTTGTGAACTGCATGGAAGTGTTACGGGCAAGTGCTTTCTCCAAAATGGAGGAAGAAGAATAGACTACCAAGATACGTTTTTGGGAAAATCTCTTGGGAAACTGTACTGCTGATATTTGTGTTTCAGTGATGCTTGCAGAGCAAGACAGAATGCAGTTTGTTTTACCTGAGTTGATGCTGGGTCTAGCCCCACGGTTCTCAACTACAGATTGCCAGAGCTTGCTAATGGCTACTGAGTAAATAAGAAAAGAGTGGGAGATTAAACTAGTGAGGTCAACAAAAATGACTTGAATTGTATAATGTAGTTTCCAAAAGGAGCAATTTCTGATTGCACTTTTAGGTGGAGATCAGTTTTAAAAACAGAACTATGCATGGATAGCTCGGCCTGTGGGGCCTAGATTTACATAGTTTTCAGTGAGGTATTAAAATCTAAATACATAATCTAAATACATAAATACATAATTTTAATTGATGCCAAAACCCTCGACTCCAAGTCAATGGGTGCAGGGTAGCCTAGAAAAAAACTTTTGGATTCTTTTGTCCTCAACTGGGACAAAATTCATCTCCCCTTCTCACAAAATAGGAATTCAACAGCTCTTTGCACCTGGAAAAAACAGTTGTGTGCTGCTCAGTCATTCCAAAACAGCTTCTGGTGTCTTTTTTGGAGACTGGAAGAGAGACATGCAATTTAATTGTCAAAGGTGATTGGTTTTGATTGGTTTATTGATGCATTGATGTAACTCAACAGGGTTTGTCTTTTTTTTTTTTTTTTTTTTTTTTTTTTTTTTTTTTTTTTTTTTTTTTTTTTTTTTTTTTTTTTTTTTTTTTTTTTTTTTTTTTTTTTTTTTTTTTTTTTTTTTTTTTTTTTTTTTTTTTTTTTTTTTTTTTTTTTTTTTTTTTTTTTTTTTTTTTTTTTTTTTTTTTTTTTTTTTTTTTTTTTTTTTTTTTTTTTTTAATTCCAGCAAATTTACCTAGATTCTGCTGAGCAGAAATTCAGGAAAATTCAGGAAGCCTTCTTGGTGTACATTGTCCATCCCTCTGATCATTTGCATATTCCTACTCTGTTGTTATTAAATAGGGAAAAAGGGAAGAGTGGCTTTGTAGGTACAAGGGCTGTAGACAGTTCATACCCACTTCTGTTGATCATTTTCTTCTACCTTAGTGTATGAAGAATATGGGTGATGGCTTTTATTTTCTCAAAAAAAGTCAACAGTGGGGTGCTTTTTACATTCATTTATTTATGGAACAATTAATTATATATGTTCTGAAAAGAACCCTGCTTAAATACTATCAATAAAAATCTTTAAATTACTGAGTAGCTTATTATAAATACAGAAAATACAGGCTGAATAATAGCTACAGGCTAACCAACTTTATTTAATTTTTTTAACATAAGATTTTAAATATATTTTTAATTATATGGTAGTTCTAAAAGGTTAAAGGCATTTTGAGCACCTTTGAGCGACGTTCATTCAGAAACATCAGCAAATACTCATGACAACCAGTTGAAAACAAAATTGGCATTCTGCCATCACTTACAGTTGACCAGACAAAGCCAAATTCTTTCAGGAGAACCACAAAGTAGTAGCATTTCAGTCCAGAACCTGTGCTTCCGCTGTTGATCTCTACTAAGGAGGGATGTCTTGTGATTTAACATTTAAACATTTTTCTTCCCCTCCCCTTTCCTCCAACCTGCTTTCTTTTCTACTTGCATTAAGCTTTCCCAAAGCATGCATAGCTCAGGAAGGAGGCTGAGGAAAGAGCACTTGCTCCAGTAATAGGAAAGCTCTATCACCAAAAGACCCATTAGCATCAGGGCATGACTGAATTAGCATGTGTGCAAGCTATCTGGCTTCAGTGGACTTGCTCCTGATTTTCAACAGAATGAGGAATTCAGCCCACAGAACAGTCATTGTCTTTGCTGATCAAGGAAAGGTGGAGAAAAAGGAGTCAGATTATCAGAGCTCCCTGTTGTTTCACGTGCTAGCACCTATTTTATATCTTGCCCTGTGCAGTTTTAAAAAGAGCTGCAGGGAAAATATAAAATGACATTTTCTTGTTATCTGTACTTCAGTGCAGAGACCGGCTGTTCCTTCAGGTCACACACCATTTCCCTGCTTAAAAGTGCAGGGAAATACTTTTTTGTTCCCTAAGAGCTGAAATGCCAGAGCAGACTGTGAAGCAAACCTTTCAGCTTCACCATGTTCTCTCACCAGCTGATCTTCACGCATCCTGGCAGGTCATGCTCCCTTACCTAAGGCCCTGTTAAGCCACTATTTTTTTTTATTATTTTTTTATTTTGTTAGCTTGGCTGCAACAACTAAGCAACTCAGCTTACTCCTGCTTTTGAAGACAGGTCTCTGCTTCCATCCTTGTTTTGCTCATCGTAATTTCTTACCTTTAGTAAATGTGTGTTTACTACACACCCTATTGAAAAAGAAAGTAATACCTTAGTAATAACAACAGGAAAACACAGGACTGAACTACTAGTAAAAAGAGGGGGAAAAGCTACCAGAAGCACCCATTCCTAGTTGTGTGATTCTACCAAATATGAAGGACAAGCTGCCCAAAGCCGTGTCTGAAGGACAATCCATCCTGAGAAGGTGGCCAGTGATCAGGAACTTGGGAAGAGAAGTGCTCAGGGAGCAGAGGCTGCTGCCCGTTATTCTCATGGCCAGGCCCTTTCATTGCTGTGAAACAACTGCACAGTTGTTTCTGTCTTGAACAAGAATTGAATTTGGCCCAGTAGATTTAGCAAATATTGATTTAGTGAGTCAGTGTTCTCCTTAGCTTGCAGAACTATGCAACTGGTCCTCCAAGTATATTTCTTTAAAAGGAATTTATATCTGTCTGTAGTTGTGCCGTACTCCAGGGTCTTTGACTGTGGGCTTTGGTTGCTAATTGCGCTCCCCGTTTTTGCTTTAAGCTTCTGCTCATATGAATGAAATGTGCACTCGTGCAATATTCTATTTACTTTAGCGGCCCACGCTGGATATATTAAAAACAAAAAAGGTATCAAAACTCTGTATTTTATTTAGTGCTCTAGTATTCAAACCACAAAATGCCAGCTGAAAGTGGAAGCAGCTGCACTCAGCGGCAACACTCAGCTAGGAGCACATGGCTTTGGTAAACACACTGTTCTTGACCTTTTCTCCTTTCCTCCCACCCTGTCAAGAGAGAACAGCTTTCCCATGAGCCTGCACACATACCTTCTTGGGTGTCTGTGAAGCGAGATGAGATTAACAACTCCTCAGGAGGAGACAAGGAAAAATACCAACCCCTGGTCCTTGCCTTAAATGACCCTCTGTTTCCAGTTTCCCAATTTCTTTGTGTAGCCTGGGAAAAAGAGTTGTGTCAGCCAGTTCCATTTCCCTTTGTGTGTGTAGGCAGAAAAAACCTCTTTCACCATCCTTCTAACCTCTGAATAGGTACGTTTCTTAAGCAAACAAAAAACTTGTGAGCGCACTGATTGCTTTACGATTCCACCTACCCATGAAAGCTGGAAAAATGGTTCCCTCAGGTCTGGCTGCACCTGAATGGGGCAGACACCTTCCACAGTGGGCAGCAGAAGGAAAGTCTAACTGTCACTCACACTAAAAATGCTGGGGTTTTTTCAATGAAGTTGGAAACCATTCCTGCTGTTTACAGTGCAGAGGCATCTCAGCTCCATGCCATTTAATGGCACAGTGCAGTGACATATTTCTAAATTAGTAGCTGTTGAGACAGGAGAGAAAAGGCAAATTATTCCCCCACATAAGTTCCAGTCCTCCAGTTGGGTTTAGGGAAGGATTCAGTTCCTTAGGTTTCACTTGCTTTTTTTGGAAAGCAGAGGTTTAGGGAAGGAAAAAGAAGTTTCTTTTAAAATATAAGTAGAGGGCTACTCCCCAAGCCAGTCTCCAGGCAGCAGGTCAGATGCCAAGAGCAAGCTGCAGGTTGAGGGGCGTTCTTCATGGAATAGTCCAGGGAAGAAAAGGGAAAGAGGTATCAGCCATCCTTCCTCCTACTGAGGCCAGAAAAATTGGAAGAGGTGGGTAAGTGTCTCCTAAGTCTTTTTTTTTGGTGAAAATGACTGTTTTTCACAAATTCTTCCTGTAAACCTAAGCTGTGTGAAAAGCAAACACTAAGCAGCTCCAAAGGAGCAACTCTATTTTGTTGTGTTGAGTTGACTCTAAAGACCCATTCTGAAAGTACTTCTGGACTCAGTAAGTGATCAAGCCAACAATGATCTACTAAATAGTAAAGGCTATTTAGAACTGCAGATGGCAATACCATGTTCCCAGCTAAACTCGGTGATCCTGCTTCTTCATCAGCTAATAGCTTGTTCAGCTATGGAGAGCTGAACCAAATAGGAATATAAAGCTTTGCTGTTTTGTTCTGTTTGTGTCGTAGCTATGAAAATTGCCTGTGAAAAGACAATACAATGGAGAGTAAGGGGGTTGGATTTCCACCCCCCCCTAGGAAGAGCATATAGCAAATGGTATTCTGCACATTAGTGTGAAGCACCAACTGGTCTGTTAAATTCTCTGGAGAACTCCTAGAACAACTGTAGATATGTAAAGAAAATGTTAGTCCAGCGTGAGTGATAACCATTGTTCTTGATAGTTCTGCTGTCAATAAATGTCTACAGACAGTATGGGATACAGTTCTTCAAATAACCTGTGATTGTTCTTAGTTCAGAAAGTGCCGTTTTGTATTTGTTGCTGATGTGTATATATATATAATCTATTTTTTTTAACTTACAGTATATATTTTTAAACAAAATAAACAAAGGAAAATTATATTGCCCACTGGAATCTTGCATGGATTTTATTTTGCTTTTGTAAGACAAAGAAAAGAAGAAGAAGATGCCCAAGGGGTGAAAGATCATGGTTCTGTTAATACTAGGGAAATGAGCAATGCCTTTTTGCACATTTTTCTTCATTTAAAAATTCTGTGTGTTAAAAAGATGAATGTACACTCCTTTTAGCATGTTTATAAGCAAAAGTAATTTGCTTCTATTTCTTCCTGAAACCGAATGAACTCACTATTGAGAAGAGGGCTGTCTGTGGAGCTTGCTGGGGAAG